GGCTCAGGCTCGGCAGGCATGGCGTGAAGAGTCTCAGGCTTGGCAGGCATGGCGTGAAGAAACTCATGCTTGGCAGGCATGACGTGAAGAGGCTCAGGCTCGGCAGGCATGTCGTGAAGAGGCTCAGGCTCGGTAGGCATGGCGTGAAGAGGTTCAGGCTTGGCAGGCATGGCATGAAGAGACTCATGCTTGGCTGGCATGACGTGAAGAGACTCAGGCTTGGCCATAGACTTTAAAAAATATGGACAAAGCGTTTGTGACGTCACCCACAGACTATGTAAAACGCATTTGTAGCTGCATAGCTCGCTTATATACAAGCAACCTGCTTCTCTGTAGCCCAGGTCAGGCGATTCTGCCGCTGTTTCTGGTTCAAAAGTGGCTTGACCTGGGGAATGCCGCACCTGTAGCCCATTTCCTGCACACACCTGTGCATGGTGGCTCTGGATGTTTCTACTCCAGACTCAGTCCACTGCTTCCGCAGGTCCCCCAAGGTCTGGAATCGGTCCTTCTCCACAATCTTCTTCAGGATCCGGTCATCTCTTCTCGTTGTGCAGCGTTTTTTTGCCACACTTTTTCCTTCCCACAGACTTCCCACTGAGGTGCCTTGATACAGCACTCTGGGAACAGCCTATTTGTTCAGAAATTTCTTTCTGTGTCTTACCCTCTTGCTTGAGGGTGTCAATGATGGTCTTCTGGACAGGTCGGCAGTCTTACCCATGATAGCTGTTTTGAGTAATGAAACAGGCTGGGAGTTTTTAAAATCCTCAGCAATCTTTTGCAGGTGTTTAGAGTAAATTAGTTCATTCGGATGATTAGGTTAATAGCTCGTTTTGAGAACCTTTTCATGATATGCTAATTTTTTGAGATAGGAATTTTGGGTTTTCATTAGCTGTATGCCAAAATCATCAGTATTAAAACAATGAAACACCTGAAATATTTCAGTTGGTGAGCAATGAATCTAAAATATATGAAAATTAAATTTTTATCATTACATTATGGAAAATTATGAACTTTATCACAATATGCTATTTTTTTGAGAAGGACCTGTACATGCATACAGAAGGTAGCTTAAAATTTTTGGTTTAATGTCAGGGCAACTTTTAGATAGTAAAAGTGAAATGAAAGAGTGCAAGTAATAATAAAGATCTCCCAAAATAATAAGCATAATCTCCTTCATTTCTTTCACATACACATTTGTAGTCCAATTTCAGCATAATATTCACGATTTACAGACTCTCTCTTCTGTAAAAACAGTAAAAATAATGATCATTAATATTGCACTCACAGATTGTAGTCCAATCAGATGACCTCTAAAACAGTGGTTCTTAACCAGGTTTTTCCAAACGTCCAAGAGGACCGTAAGATGACTTAAAATGATTTAAAATAAGTTGTATTAAATTAATAATTATATATGATACATACCTTTAGCTTTGAAAAAAATAAAATAAAGACAATACATAAACTGATATTATGTTTTATTTTTTCTAAACAACTACTGTAGTTTTTATCGAAGAGCATGAAGTTCTTGAAACTTGTTTTCAAACTAAAAAGGTTGAGTGTTAGCAGATTCACTTGTCTACAGGCATACCTTACGATGCCATACTAAGTATGACATCGCAATGCAGTGTCACTGAGACATTCTCTTTCGAGGGAACATTGACACTATGCCATGGTGTTGATGCTAATGACAAAACCCACGCCACCATGCTGCGAAGATGTCTAAATCTCAGCACAAACACAAAACTGCAAATACTCGAAGGACTCAACCCGAAAGGACCTGAGACCTTGGGGTGGAGCCCACATCCACACTTTAAAACCTGATGTGTGCGGTAAGGACCAGCCTGCCACCACACAGACTCAAAGAGCCTTTATAGCAGCAACACATTGGCCCCTGACACCTAGAGGCAAAGTTTTACTGCGCAGCTCATTGGCAAGGAAAACCACATTTGAAAACTTTCGAAATATAGTCTGCTTGGAAGCAGTGGAACCTTTGTTGACAAAGAGTTGACCATATTTACATTTCTGACCTGAGCGGTAGACATAAATCCAGAGAGCCTGTACTGGACATTACCTTTTTAAGCTTCTCCTGCTTCTGAGTTTCAAACGGCGGAGACTAAGGGGAAGGGGTAGGGGAAGGGGTAAGACAGAGAATTGGGATTCAGCCTTAACCTTAAACCTGTCACAGTCCTCCGTCTGCACCAGTCTGTCTTGTCTTCAGCACTACACTTCCCATGATCCTCTCGTCTGCACACCTGAACTCACTCCCTCATCAGCCTCCCGTTCAGCATCCTGTGTCATCTGTTTCACCTGTTTGCACCTCGTTATGTTTGATTCTTCCATGTATTTAGTTCCCTCTGTCCCATTCAGTCTTGGTCGGTCGATGTCAATGGATGTTTGATGTTACCCGGTGTACCCCGTTTTCCTGCCTGTATTAATGAAATAAATGTATCTTCCTTGTGACTCTGGAGTCCTCCAGTTCCTTCTGCCTGCTCCACACCCGTGACAAAACCTAACTTCTTGATATAAGCAAGAACAACATCTTGATGCCGAACTGCCATCTCTTGTGACCGGGCTAGAATGGGCCAGTTATCAATGCAATTTAGTACATGGATGCTCTGGAGTTGCAAAGGTTCCAGATACACATCCATGCATTTGGTGAAGATTTGAGAAGACAAGACTAGGCCGAATGGAAGAACCCGATACTAGTAACATCCCACCCCCTAAAGTAAACCTGAGAAACTTCTTGAGTTATTGGCAGAATATCTCTGTGAAAGTATGCATCCTTCAAGTCTTCGCATCGAATTTGAGACACAAGAAGCATTTGTGTCAACATCTTGAATCTGTAAGTCTGCTTTTATATTAAATTCTTTATTGTTAGAAGAACCCAGAGAAAGATTTTAGGCAGAAGATTCCATGTTGCCAAACATGCAACATTGTAAATGAGTGGAGACAGAGCGGAAATCCCACTAGGAACTGCCATTGCCCGAAGCACCAGAGGTAGTATGGTTAGTGGGTTAATTCCTTGAAGAGAATGGGAGAGAGAGGAGGCCTCAAGACGAACTACACCCTTCTCTCCCCTAAGGGGGCACCTGGCATTCGTCTTAGCTGCACGAGCAGCAATAACTGCCCCAAGGTCAGGTCTGCCACCCTTCTGTTCCTCCCTCTTCGAGCTGGGCACAGGATGGGAGTTAGAAGGGCCAGCCTGGTGGACCAGCGAGGGATTAACTGCTGGAATGCCTTTGACTGTTTCTTCACCACCTGAAACCAATCGATGACAAAGCTCACTTTTTGATAAATGACTTCAAACAGCTCCTTGCGATGAGGAGGACTGCCTGCCAGCAGCACTCCAATCGTAACCTCCCTCAACATCTAGCTCCTCAAAGCTAGACCCCCCTGAAAGTGTTCCATATCTAGAGGAGAAGAAATTGCGACCCCCATGATCTCACTCTATGTGTTGCCTCAGCAGATGCGGGACCAGAACCACGTGGTGCAGAGACAAAGTTTCTTCCATTATCGAAGAGGGCTCATCATCCCCAAGAATAGATACAAAGATAAACATTTTTGTACATACACTGACAGACAAAGCAGCTTCTGAAGACAAGAAGCTGACGATGCTCTAGCACAGGTATTATTTGTAGACTTGATCATCATCACACACAACGTTGCATCACCTGACTTTGTCCTTGGCTATTGGCGTGTTCTACACGTGACTCAGACACCAGCTCATTCTCAAGGTGTTCCCATAGTGTCAACACCATGACACGTAGTGTCGATGTTCCCTTGAAAGGGAACCACTTTGTAATTATTTAATCGAAAATACCATAATTACCATAAATATCATAGCTTCCATGGGGGTCCTTCAAATATTAACTTGCACAGTGAGAATCCTTGAGTCGAAAAGGTGGAGAACAACTGTTCTACCAGAAAGGCTCGGGAGAATAATACTGTAACAACTAACCATTTATTAACAGCCCAGCAAGCAATATTATGATATAAGGTTCTTTGGCGTAGGCCCCGTCCATAGCTCGCAATCCAAGGATCTCTGCATTTCCTGCCTGAAGACAAAGGCAGGGGTGCGGCCGACCCCTTTTGAGGTATGGGAAGAGCCCATCCTGGTGGTGGTGGGGGAGGATGGAGGGGAAAGAACCATCATGGTGGGGAGGATGGAGGTTAATGGAATCGTCAGTATCTGCGAGCTCAGACATGTGTACAGTAAGTACCTCTTTTATACCACAAGTATTAGAACACGATTGGATAGATGAGTGGCATAATAAGTGACATAACAATTGAGGTAATAAGTGACATAACAATTGAGTCCTTCCAGCAGAACTCATGCTAAAATTTTACAACTAGCAAAATTTTGGGACAACTAGCATTTCAAAAGTCGAAAATTATGGTTCATGGCAAAAGCCTATTGGCTGTACTATAAAACAAAGGGACTAGCCCTTTGATATGTACCACTCAATCTTACTTTTTCAGTAGGAATTATGTCACCAAAGGAACTCGTTAAGTAATTTCATGGTGTCTTCAATGTCATCATGAATTTTGCATGAAACCTTTAGAAATTTGTTTGCTTTCTTTTTACTTTTTACTTGTGAGTGTACTTCCTTTTCTCAAGTAGGCTCCTAGCGATGCACTAAAGTTAAAAGACTGCTTTACCACAGGAATAAATATACGTCATGGCAAGATTAAAGTAGATGCTGGTTTATAATTAGCTCAGTCGCCCTCAGCAAGAGATCTCTAGTACATCTTTGCCATCTTGATGGAATGTAGATGTCAGCAGAGTTGGCTAGCAAGAACTGAGCAACCTATCAGGAAGAGTAGATTATTCACACACCACCACCACCACCACCACCACCACCAGAGCTAGAGCTGTAGAGAAATATTAATGGACTACAAATGTGCATTTTTACTTAAGTACAGTTCCAAATTAAGAGCCAAGACTGAGACACACAGCATGACAACAGGTTGCATTTGTAGCGGACCTCGTCTCACACCACAAAGAACTCAACGACACCACTGGCTTCGGTGGACCACGTCTGCAGTTTATTGAAAGAGGACAGAAAATCAACACACGCCTTCAGTGTTTACTCTCTCTCAGCTCGCTCTCTCTAGTCACAGGGTGTTCTGAGATCATTTTATACAATAAAGTTTTGTATTACAACAATTTTGTCTCTCATTTATGAAAATTCACACAAAACATATTAAAGAAATAAAATTAAATTGGTTACACATTTTTACATTAATATTATAGCCAATATGTCTCAATTTCTTAGATCGTATAGTGGTTTTTTTTCCTTATTCAAAACAATTTCACATACCTGCAGTTTATTGAAAGAGGACAGAAAATCAACACACGCCTTCAGTGTTTACTCTCTCTCAGCTGAAGGATGTATGAGAAAAGACATGTTAAACACTGTCCCCTCTAACTGCAATTCATATCATTTCCTAGTAACACATAAGGCTATAAACATAAATTTTAACATCCAGAAGAAAGCTACACACATTTAACATACTAAACAACATATCTACAAACTCAATCCACCGAAATTAATTGTGAAGAAAATTATTAACACTAGAAAACCTGCACTCTAATATGGCGCGCAGGCGGAAACATTAAACAAACACGTGCGTTTGTAATACTACAAAAATACATTAAACCGTGGACAGAAAAACCCTGATATAAACTTGTTCCCGTTTTATGACACTTCTATAATAGATATCAAGGTAAAACTTCACTTAATACAGCATATTTTCGCTCTTAAATAAGGAGCACTGCAGAGACGTACCTCGCTCTCTCTAGTCACAGGGTGTTCTGAGAGAGCAGGCGCGCCGCGCGCGACCAGTCCGTTACCAATGACGTCACTCACTGGCCAAACTCGAAATATTAATTTTAAACAAAAATACAGAGTTTTCTTGTATTGTAGAACAAAATAAAGATTATACTTGTAGTGCACGTAATTGTTTTAAATTGAATTTAACAACTTAATAATTAAACAAAAAGTTTGCTGGAACAGTTACCATGGAAACACAAAACACTACACTCTCCCCTCCTAAATTTCAGCAAACTTTAAGACTATAGGCAAGTAATTTTCCTTTAAAGTGGGATACCCAGACTTCAGTCACTCAAATGAATAGCAAAACATTTTGCTTGGAAGAAATATGCCCTTATACATATTACCATAAATTCCCACAAAAAGTACTTCTCAACCCATATTAAAGTTCACTCAGTTCTAATTTCTGGTCAGTTCTCAAAATCAGCTTAACATTTGACTCCAAAGATCAATTCAACTCTCGATTAAATTGGACAGACTTATGAGCAACTCTGCAAGAGGATCTTTTTGCCTCGATTCAGTCAATATCATGCTCATACACTCAAGCAGACGCCTGACAGGTTTCACTAGCCTTCCTGCCCTGGTTCTGACTGTTCCTTCACTTGGTTTCAAATTAGTATCTGCTACAGACACTGTTCTTGGGGGCTTTCTCTGTGCATGTCCACTTTTGCAACTTGAGGCTTGATGCTTAGAGCTTCCGACTGACCCGCTCATTGAACTGGCATCATTTGACATGACAATTGATTCAGCTTGAACACTCTGGTTGCTCGCAGATTCTTGGAGCCTTACCCCCTTCCTGCTGCATGATTGAGCTGGTTCTAATTCATGTACACCATTGTCATCCTCAGACTGCTCACTGTCAGAGTTCATATCCCTTGTACCACATTCATCACTAGAACTTTCAGTGTGCTCACTTTTACTTCTAGTAGAAAGATCCTTCTCTCTTGTTTGACTTGCACAGACTGATTTTTCCCACTCCGTGGCATGTTCTTTGGTATTCTCTACAGCACATTTTCCACTGCTCCGAGTTGCTTTTGTGTCTACACCTTGAAAAATCCATGCAGCCGTTCTACTGTTCCTTGATTCCCTTTCCATACTGAACAAAGACCTTTCGTCCTCAGTTTGACATTTTTCATCCTCCGACGCTGTTGATAACACTGTCGATTCGATTTCCGGCTCCTCCAATGGAAGAAAATTGACTGGGAGGAGGAAGTTACGATGGACAACCTTACTTTTCTTTGTTGTAGGATTCTCAACTCTGTAGATGGGCAATGATGGGTCTTTCCATGTTACTACGTGAACTGCTGAGTCCCACACATCTGCCAGCTTTCCCTTTCCTCTTTCCTTTTTATTCACTAAGAGAACACGGTCTTCAACCTCCAGAGGAGCACCCTTAGATCTTTTGTTATACCCTTGTGCCTGTTTTCTCTGTGCCTCGGTAGTGTTGCTTTTAGCAATACGCACAGCTTCTCTGAGATCTTTCTGAAGAGATTTCACATACTCATCATAGGCCTGAACATCTTTATCTCTGAGAACACTTCCGAACATGACGTCTACGGGTAACCTTGGAATTCTTCCAAACATTAAGTAGAAAGGTGGGAACCCTGTTGTTTCGTGGGTGGTACAATTATAGGAAAATGTGAGTGTCTGAACAATTTGTGGCCACTTCTCCTTTGCTCGAGGAGGCAAAGATCGGATCATGCTACCAAGAGTGCGATTAAATCTTTCTGTCTGCCCATTACCCATAGGATGGTAAGGTGTGGTATGGGACTTTTCAACACCAGACACCAGCAACAACTCAGCGATCAATTTGCTCTCGAAATTTGCACCTTTGTCGGAATGAATTCTCTGTGGAAACCCATACACACAGAAAAAGTTATCCCACAATTTTTTAGCCACTACTTTGGCTGTTTGATTGGGGCAGGGGAACGCATGGGCTAGTTTGGTGAAATGGTCTGTTATAACTAGAACATCAATACTCTCTCCATGCATTCCTTCTGCGGACCAGAAATCTATGCATACGAGCTCAAGTGGTGCACTCGTTCTGATAGACTCTAGAGGAGCTCTAGCCTCAGGTTCCTGTGTCTTTCCAACAACACATCGTTTACAGTGTGAGACATACTTCTTTACGTCCGTGTCCATACCAGACCAGAAAAACCTCTGGCGCACAAGATGAAGTGTTCTACTTTGCCCTTGATGGCCCGCGTCGTCATGAGTTCCTCTGAGAGCAACAGCTCTCAGTGACAGTGGAAGGACAAGCTGATACCTGACTTTACCGACCCGGTCTTTGGACCTGCGGTACAGAACTCCATCTTTTACTTCAAGCTTTTCCCAGTGTTTCAGATGTCTTATTACTGGTGCAGTTTCATTGTCTCTCTCTCTACGCGATGGTCTCCTTTTCCTGTCGACAAAGAATGCAACACGGGACACAGTTGGATCTGCTTTCTGCTTCATCCGTATATCCTCCATAGAGAAGGCCGGAAGGGTGTTGACACCTCCATGTACACATTTATTGTTCTGGGCCAGATGAACACTATGAACTGGACTGTTGGCTTCCCAGTTGAGACAGGATTCAAAGACAGCTCTTACTCCTTCACTATCCACTCCCTTCAGTGTTTCAACTTGGGAATCCATGCTGCTTTCCCCCATTTGATGGTGTACATTCACTGATAACCGGAAGGCTTCCTGTATGGTCTCAGAAGTCACATGTTTAGATTTGATCTCAAGTGCATCACAGACCTCTAATGTTCTGGCAAATGGGCGGCGGCTCAAAAGATCAGCAGGGATGTTCTTGGTACCTGGTATATATCTGAGGTCAAAATCAAAAGGGGCAAGCTTAGATACCCATCTCTGCTCGCAGGCATCTAGCTTTGGCTTTGACATTATGTACGTCAGGGGATTGTTATCAGTTAGCACTGTAAATTTAGTCCCCTTCAGCCAATGGGTGAATTTATCACATACTGCCCACTTCAGTGCATAGAACTCCAACCTATGAGCAGGGTAATTGGACTGGGCTTTTGACAGGGTCTTACTTGCAAAAGCAACTGGTCTGGGTTTTGTCTCACCTTCTGGAATCTGACTCAAGACTGCACCAAAACCATCCATTGATGCATCCGTAGACAAAAGAAAAGGTCTGTGGAAGTCTGGGTGGGCAAGAACAACAGTGTGAGAAAGTGCATGTTTTATGTTCTCGACAGCTGTGTCACACTCTTCAGTCCAGTCTTCAGGTCTTAAACGCCTAGGTTTGGAAATGAAGGGGTTCTTTTGTCCATGTCTCCTCCCGACTTTCTGTCCAGCAGTCAGTTTAAACAATGGTTTCGCTAAAGTCGAAAGACCTTCAATGAAATGGGAATAATAATTTGCCATCCCAAGAAAAGACTTAACTTTGGTTGGTGAAGGAGTCTTTCCGTCTGTTTCCATCAGGTCTGTGGATTTAATGTCGCTGATTGTAGACACTTTCGCTGGATCGGTTGCTATGCCACTCTCAGTTACAATATGACCCAAAAACTTGACGGTTTTTCTCAAGAAATAGCACTTCTTTTGTGCCAGTTTCAGGTTATGCTCTTTAAGCCTGGAAAACACCATCTCAAGGCGATCAAGCGCTTCCTTCTCAGTTTTGCCGAAGACGAGTAGATCATCTAAGTAGCAAAGAAGCGAAAGGAAGTTCTGATCTCCAAAGATAGACGTCATCATCCGTGAGAATGTTGCTGGGCTGTTACATAAACCTTGAGCCATGCGATTATATTCATAGAGCCCCACTGGAGTTGTACATGCAGTATATTTTCGATCATCCTCATGGATTGGAATGTTATAGAACCCCGATGTTAGGTCCATGGTGCTAAAATAACTATTTCCTCCTAATGAGGCAAGGGCATCAGCCTGATGGGGTAAAGGATACGCATCCTTCTCTGTCCTTTGGTTGAGCCATCTAAAGTCTGTACATATCCTTAGCTCTCCAGAGGGTTTCCAGACTAAGACTAGGGGTGACGCCCATTCACTGTTTGACTTTTGGATGATACCACGCTCCTCCATCTCATCCAAAGTTTTTCTCAATTTTTGATAATGGGTGGGTGGAACCCTTCTGTAAGGCAGTCGAAAAGGCTTCTCATCTTTGAGTCGTATCCGATGAACAGTGTTCTTTACTTCACCACAATCTAGCTTGTCACGAGAGAAGGTACTTTCATACTGTACTATGAGATCAGTCAGCTCTCCTTTCCAGTAATCACTTACTTCACAGGATTCAATGTCAATTTCTGTCAGCCCCAAATCTCTCAGCTTGACTTCATAGTCAGACTGCGGCTTGCCTTTCTCGTTTAGCTCATTAACTTGGACAACATTCTGCTGAACTCCTTCCTTCTGGTATTCTGTACCTTTTTCAGCAAGGTCTAGTTCCTCTAGCGCGAGGCATGGGTGCACGTTAGCAATTTTAGTATTGCGGCGCAAAACAATAGGGCGGTCAATCATATTGATCACTTTCATAGGAATCCACTTATCACCCCAGAGAGGGCAAACACTGCGAGCTACCATAACATTTCTTGGTGCAGAACGGGAAGTGGAAGGTTCGAGCATTACAGTGCTTCCAACAGACAAGGGAACTTCTTCCTTTAACCTTCCCCAAACCAAATGTTCTTGCTGTGGCTCTAGTGTAAGGCATTGTCTCAATACTACTGTGCCAACTCTCTGTGGTATCTTATCTCCATGCCATCGGTCAACATTAGAAAGCACATTCAGCAGATGTTCTTGACCATTATCTTGGACTGGTTGAGATAAGCTCTTCCAGTACCACTCGGTTTTCTTCATCTGCCGAGTCACGTGCCTGATGACATTCGATCCAACGATCATTTCATCTTTTTGACCAGGGACAACTAGAAAGTTGATTGTCATTTTGCAGTCAAGCATATCCACACTCAACTCGTATGTGCACTTTGGTTTTGTTTCATTCCCTCCACAGCCTGTAAGTACTTTTTTGGTGGGTT